CTGACCTATAATGTTCTCCTCAGGTCCCATACAGCCCCCAACCCCTTAAAAAGCACTCCTTGAATGAAAATGGGGGGATTTTACATGTGACCAGGAAAAGAAGGTATCGGGGGAAATGCATAGCTGTGCCGCCTTCCTCCACAGCTGGCATCGCTTTGGGGAAGGCTGTGTTTTCTAGGAGCCCCTCCCACAGCGCTGCAGCACATTCAGACCAACAGTGCTCCTTGTGGGGAGGCTTGTCCATGTGTTGTGTGTTGTGATGCTTGTGTTTCCGTGAGCGGTGGTTCTGCATCAGACAAGCCCATGGCACGACACATGTCATAGTGAGACCTTAGCCTTTCCTGAAGAACTGGGGGTGAGGGACCGTTCTCTTTGCAGGTCACCAGGAAGAAAGTCGTTGTGTGTGAAAAGGACCCCATAAAGCAACCTTGTGGTTCCTCTGTGAAAACGGAATCTTGGTATCTGGGAAGCCACCAAACGTGCAATTCAGGTGGGCTTGCAGGTGCAGGTGCGGGAGAGCCAGAGCCTGTTGCATGCCAGGGGTCCTTTGCCTCCCCCAGCCTAGAGCGAGGAGCTGACACTTTCAGCCTGGTCCTTGGCCTGGGGGTCAAACAGCTTCATGTAGAGAGGGTGCTGTGGGAGGGCCTTTGAGAGTGGCACCTGTCCTTGTCCTGCAGTCCTTCCTCAGTCCTGAGCCAGGAAGAGAACAAGGTTGAGAATGGTTGGGAGGAGCCCGACTGGGCTCAGAGCTCTCAGCTGGCTCCAGTGTAGAAGTCCAGAAGCCAGGGCCTGAGCTTTCCCTGACCTTCCTGTCCCCCTGCTGGCCCAGGGGAAGGCGTCTGTCCTTGGCAGGTGGCTTCCCATGGCATGGCATCCTTGGTCCTGCCTGGAGGCCAGCTCTGCCTGCCCCGGTGTCCCTAGAGGGACCCAAAACTGCAGAGCAGGGCTGAACCACACTATCTGACCTTCGACCTGGGGACCACCTAGCATTACTGAGCAACTTAGCTGTCTCCTAGCAACCCATGACAGTTCTTTGTGCTGAACCTAGCAGTCTGGAATCGGCCAGGCCACTTCTCAGGCTCCACTGTGCTGTGGCTGTAAACCTGCCACTCCAGTCCGTGGAGATCCCTCTGAATCCCGCCTCTGTCATCAGAACCATGCACCTCTCCCCTGGTTTAGTGCAGCTGACACTTTTGATAAGATGATTTCTAAGTGTTGAGTGGAGACGGGCCTTGATCCAGAGCAGGTGATGTCATCAGAAATTTCCCGGTGCACTTTGGGTCTTTTCAACCCAGCTGGCCTTGCCAGCCAGGCTCCTGGCTGTGCCGGGGGTGGGGGATCCTCATCCCACTGCTGAAGAGCCTGTACTCCCCAGTCCTATGTCCTGCCAGCAAGGATAAGACTGCTTCTTCCCAGCCACAATGTAAGATTGTCCCTTCAGACTGTTGCTGCGGGGTACCTGAACAACCAGACAGGCTCACTCCGGAGACCAAGGGTCAGACAGAATTGTGAGTCTGAGATGCTGCTGTCGTGAGCCCCTTGGAGGAGAAGAACACAAGCAAGTCACCTCCAAAGAGGGCAGGAACATGGCAATCTTCCCCTGCACTTATGGGCTGGGAAGACTGGATTAAAGAAGATGCTGCTGCTACGGCTGGATAGGTCGGGGTGCTGGATAGGCCCCCAGCTTGGGTGCTGGAAGCTTGGTCCTCTGGAGACAGCACTGAATACTGAAAACTCTGAGAGGTGGCCCAGTGGAAGGTAGCTGTGTCCTTCCTTAGTCCTGAGCCACTGTCTCATGGGCTGAGTTAGTGCTTTTGAGAACAAGTAGTTGCAGAACAGCAAGGCTGGCCTCTCCTGCTCTTGGCCTCTGGTCTCACCATGGGACCTCTGTGTCCTTGTTCCCACCATTGTGATCCCACCACAGGGCCACACAGGAGCCCAACAGAAGCAGGAGCCAGGCCTCTAGAATTGTGAAATAAACCTCTTTCTGTACAAGCTACCCAGCCTCAGCTAATGGGTGACAGCACAGGAAATGAACTGAGCTGATGCTGGGTGGTGGTATTCTTTTTATTTTTTTGGCAGAGCCAGGGATTGAACTCAGGCCCTTGCACTTGCCAGGCAAGTGCTTACTCTACTGAGCTATCTCCCTGGCCCTGAGCTGATGTTGAGTAGGAATCGTGAGGCTCATCTCCATTAGTCCATTGTCTTTCTAAGTCAGACCTTAGGGAGCTCCCCAGATGCTACTGGACGGCATGGGGCCACTCCACTTTAAGGTCCTGCAAACTACATTTCCATGTCTGTCTCCTCGTGGAGGGACCAACACTGCTATGCCTTTTCCTGACCTGGGGGACAGAGAGCAGCAGAGGAAGTCTGGGTAACGCAGAGGAGGATACACTTGCAGGCCTGTAGCCCTGAGGAGATCTGGCCCACACCAGGAGGCACCATCCTCCCATTTGACTCTGGGAACAAGAAGTCTTAAGGACATGGTGATCTTCTGCTCCCCCAGCGACACACCTGGCCACACCGAGGGTACAGGGCCTCCCCGCAGGCCTGGGCTGCAGTCTTCTTGCCGAGTCTGTTTGCTGACAGGCTCCTGCTGCTAGAAGCTCATTCTGCCATGCAAACCCAAAGTGCCACCATCTTTGCCCACCGCAGAGCCCCCCTCCTGCTCTACCACCCTCATCTCTTTCACACCAGGGTCACTCACAGTATGCATCAGATTTAGATCAGGGGCTCCCCACCTACCCCTCAGCCCCTTGTGATTTTTTTCTTTTCAGACTGTGTCTTTTTAAGTCACCAAGGTGCCCAGGCTGGACTTGAATCTACCTTCCACCTGCCAGAGGGCTGGGTGACAGGTGTGTGCCTCCACGCCTGGCTCCTGCACATTTTTCATTCACACTCACCTCCAGACCCTGGCCAGGAGAAAATGTCCTACCTTCAAAGGTACACACAGCCCTTGACCTACCCTGGTTTGACTTAACAGATTTGTAGTTTACGTTGGTGTAGAATTGTGCCTATAAAGCCATCTTGTTTTTCACTTTCAGTACAAAATCAATAAATGACATGAGATATTCACCACTTCATTATCAAACAGGCTTTGTACTAGATGCTTTTGCCCAATGGGAGGCTGACGTAAGCGTTCAATTACAGCAGCCGTTCCACGGCTGTGCCCTGAACCCCATCTGCTCTCTGTGGGGGGCTGGGGACATTAGGAACCTAGGACTGACAGATGATTCCATCAAGAACCTGACTGGGAAAGTGACCTGAGGCATCCAGCTTGGGCCTGGCCACTGACTCAGAAAGGGCCCTCCTCTATGCCTCAATTTCTCCACCTGACAAACAGGCAAGTTCAGTATCCTCACCGCCCTCAGTGCCTACAGGCTGAGGAAGAGGCTTGGTGTGTTTTTGTTTTTCCTTGGGGAAATCTTCCCTTCAAAGTGCAGGGTTTTATAATAGATACTTGTGAAAACAATAGCAGTCATCAGCGACTGGTTTAATTATGATGATTGAGGAGGAGAGAGAATGGGCAGTGAAGGAAGGACCTTGTTTCCCAGGTCCTCGAAGACTTCAGTCACCCCTGGGAGCTGGGCCCTCAGTCCAGTACCACAAGGGCACCCAAGTCAGGAGATACAAAAGGCTCAGTGGCAGTTACTAATGGGCCAGTAGGTGGATTTTATCAAGCCGGGCAAGGGCTATTTCCATCCTGCGGTGACGGGGCTAAAGTTAGACCGTGATCACTAAGGAGTCATTCTAACAGCTGGAATCAGGGCAGGAGGGGGACCACGTGGGCACAGCCTGCAGTCAGGGCAGAGTGAGCAGGCTCTGGGCCTCCAGAGGACCCTCCTGACCCACCACCTGCCTCCTGGACAGGGTGCCGGGGCTCCCATAGCCGTCCTCACCGCAACCTGGATCTTCATCTCTGAGTCACCCTCTAAAGAGGTTCCATTTCCCATCTGCACCCCGTTATTAGCTGGATGGTGCCTCCCAGGACCATTCATTCTTCCCCTGGCACTGAGACAGCAGAACAGGAAGGGTGAGGACTGCAGGACTGGCCCAGCACTGACTCAAACTTAGGTGCCCTCACCCCAGCAGAGACACCCCTCAATCCCCATGCTTCTCACCTATACCCCCTTAGCTGGCACTCAACCTCCAAGCTGCGGTGGGCTCAGGAGTCCCAAGAGTCATCCAGCCAGTCTGTCCAGGTAGTCTCCCAATGGCAGCAGAGAAGGGGGATTGCCATGGGAAGTCATGAACTTCTTTTCTCTCACTGAACACAAAGAACACAAATCTAATGCACAAACAAGCAAAGGAGAGTTAAAAAATCACCCATGATGCTGCTTGGATTTAGGCTATCGGTGCTAGTATTATTCTGTAATCTTATTCATGCACTGTGGTACCCTTCAGGGACAAAGAGACATTTCTACATCATTTTCTTCAATGGCATCCTTCCCCCATTCTGCAGTATCTCCCCACGGCCTGTGCAGCTACAGGCAACTTCCCGAGTACTAGGCATACAGCCCTTTACAAAACAGGCCTGTGGAGACACATCCTCGGCGTGTGCCCGGGTTCTCTCAGCTGGAAGGGGCAGGGCTGGGGCAGGGGCACACCTCTCCTGGACTTCTTGCTCCCGAGACCACACCTGTGAGGGTTGCTCTACACTGAACTGGCAGTGGTCACCTGGCATCGCCCCGGGGGACACAGGAGGACCCAACAGAAGCAGGGAGGGGAGCCTGCGCCTCAGATCCTTTGGGCCAGAATTTCATTAGGTAACCTCAGTTTCTGGATGGCAGAGCTGGGTGGAGGACATACTATTTGAAATTGGGCTCTCAGCACTCCAGAGGTGCTTCCTGGGCCCAGCCACAGGAGGCTGCGCTGGCTCCGGGGTCTGTGGGAGGCGACAGGGAGCCCCAGGTTTCACAACAAATGTCAAGGGCAGCTGGCTCAGGCCCAGCCCCCTAACCAGGTACCCGCCCCTGCCCTTCCTACGCTCCCGGCGGGCGTGCGCCCAGGTAGCTCCGGAGCCCAAACCTGTCGGGCCGGTTCTGAGAGCTGCAGGGACGGAGGGAGGAAGGCTGCGAAGGATGCACGGCCTGCCCCGGGCTCGCCCGCTCCCTCCACCGACTGTGCCCGTCCTGCCCACCCACCCGACCCCATGAGGCGCGCACCCGGCCTCTTGGCGCCCCTGCTGGGCCTGGGTCTGGGGCTGAGCCTGAAGCTGCCGGCGGCAGTGGCCGACGACTGTGGGTCCCTCGGGCAGGCACAGCGCCTGACGTTCGCTCCCGCGGCTAGGACGCGATGGCTGGCGCCTCTCGTGCGCCCACCGGGACCCCTGGACCCACTCTATGGCACCGTGCGCCGCTTCCTCGCCCTCGTGCAGCTCAACCCTTTTCCTTCGGGTGAGTGTGCCCCTCCCCGAGCGGGCCTGGGCTGGCGATGGGTGCCCTGTCCTGTCCCCGTTCTCATCCCGTCCATAGTCCATAGGCACTGGGAGGGCAGGTGTCCCAGAATTCCCACCGTCTTCCTCCTTCCCAAAGTACCGGGGCAGCGGCATCTGGCGAGGGCCTCCGAACCTTCCCAGGTGACCTTGACCAAGTCCACGTTGGCCTGGCAAAGAGGAGGGTGGGCACAGGCATGGTGGTGGCTGTCCCTTCACTTCAGCCGTGCTCTTTCCTGCAGAATTGGTAAAAGCCCTCCTTAATGAACCAGCCTCTGTGAAAGTAGATGAGGTGAGCATGGTGCTGGGGAGGTGTTGGGGGGTCAGGTTGGGCTCCCACACCACACAACTCCCCCTGCCTTGCTGGGCTTGCAGGGTGGGGGTTAAGGGCATCCTTTGTCCTCCCTCCTGGGCTCAAACCACTGCTATGCAGCCTATGGGCAGTGGGCTTCTAGGGGCCCAAATCCCCCTGAACTTTGGTTTCTTCTGTAAGATGGTAATAAGCAAGGACATCAAGATGCAGAACAGGGCCCTCCCTACTTGTCCTTGTCCCCCTCTGATGTCCTCCGGACTCAGGGCTGGCACAGGTGGCCTTGGGGATCATGGCTCCCCGATGCCCTGCACCCCACCAGGTGGTGCGGTACGAGGCTGGCTACGTGGTGTGTGCTGTGATCGCGGGCCTCTACCTCCTGGCGGTGCCCACCACAGGGTTGTGCTTCTGCTGCTGTCGCTGCCACCGACGCTGCGGAGGCCGAGTGAAGACGGAGCACAAGGCCATGGCCTGCGAGCGCGGCACCCTCATGGCCTTCCTGCTGCTGACCACCCTTGTGCTGCTGTAAGAGGCCGCCCAGGCGAGGTGGGAGGGCTGGGCACTGGGGGCCTCCAGGGCTCCTGGGAATCCTGCAAGCTCCTTCCTCCTCACTTCACTCACTGCAGGATTGGTGTGGTCTGCGCTTTTGTCACCAACCAGCACACACATGAGCAGACAGGCCCCAGTGTGGAAGCCGTGCCCAAGACCCTGCTCAGCCTCCGGGGCCTGGTTTCTGATGTTCCCCAGGTAAGCACCACCTAGCCTCTGCCCTGTCCCTAAACACCTTGTGAGTGCCAGGCCCCAGCAGGACAGAGCAGAGCCAGCCCTCTGTAGCCTGTGGCCTGCACATGTGGCCTGCCCTGGCTGGAAGGCCACTGAACCATGTTTTAGGACCTGTGCTGTCTTTAGGCTGGAAGGGACAGGGGACAAGAGTCAGGAATGGGTAGCTCACACCCCTGTGTTTGCCTAGGAGCTGCAGGCCGTGGCAAAGCAGTTCTCCTTGCCCCAGAAGCAAGTTTTGGAGGAGCTGGATGGTGAGGGTTACAGCTGGCCAGCCCCGAGGTCCCAGCTCAGGCCTGCAGGGAGGCCCTCCTTGCTTTCGTTGCTGTGTCTTGATCCCACTGGGAAACCATCTCAGAGGGGACACAAGGGGCGGCAGGTGCTCTGCTGCAGGAGGCCAGAGCCCACCCTGCCAAGTCCGGAGCTAGGGCCTGGGGAGCAGGACTGGTAGGGGTGGGGGTGAGTCCTCCATTCCTGGGGTGGGCCCTGCAATATGTCCCCTGCTCTCCAGGGGTCAGTGAGAGCCTTGGAAATATCGTGCACAGCCAGCTTGGGAGCAGAGTTTACCCGGTGCTGGCTTCTGTGAGCAGCCTGGGCCAGGGTGAGTTGGACCAGTGCCTATGTGGGTGGGACCCAGCAGGTGTCTCCCCAAAGGCCCACCCTCCCCCAAGCCCTCAATTTCTCATGCTCTGCCACCCTCAGCCCCACCCAAATTTCCCATCCCCTTATGCCAGGCTCCTGGGCCTCAGGCATCCCTGCCCACTTCCTGGCTTAGCCAGCTGTGGGCAGTTTCCATTGTGACTCTAAGCGTGATGACTACAGGTCCTTATGGCATGGAGGGGGGGGGTTTCCCACCTGTTGAGGCCACCAGGAGGCCACAAGCCGTGGAAACTACTCAGGCCACGTGTGGGTTTCTCAGCCCTGCAGGTCGCCATGGACCACCTCCACACCCTGAATACCACCTTGGTGGAGCTGCGCAAGGGACAGCAGCACCTTGAGCCAGCTGTGCAGCAGCACAGGGACCGCCTGCTTGCCCTGCTGCAGGAGCCTGGGTGCCAGGGGGACTGTGAGGGGACCTTGAACCGGGCCCGCTCCCTGGAGCTGGCCGCTGACTTTGTCCAGGTGTGGGCCCAAGATACAGGCCACTTGGGGCTCAGGCGGGTGACTGCACCTGCAGCCTGGGTCAGGGGTCCCCTTCCTCAGGCTATCCCTTGGAGGGCTAGTGCCCAGCACCCAGGCACAGAGCCAGGAGCACTCCTAGCCCCGCACACAGCACCTTGAGCTTCACGTGTGTTAGCTCCTGAGCCCTTACCACACTGCAGGGTGGTATCGGCTGCAGTGGTCCTCATTTTATACATGGGGCACGGCACATTCAGAGGCATCTGCCCCTTTCCTCCCTCGGGGACCCTCTCAGGCCTCTCCATAAACTTAGCCCCTGCCCATTTCAGGTCCCCTCCATGGACCACGTCCTGTACCGGCTGAAGGGTGTACCAGAAGCCAATTTCTCCCACATGGTCCAGGAGGTGAGTGCCCATCTGCCCACCTGACCCTCGCTCCTAGTTCCTGGCACTCACAGAGGAGGGGCCTCAGTTTTCCCTTTTTGGAGTGGGAACCCAGTTGAACCTTTGATTTGAGACCACCACTGCCACCTGGCACCCCAGGCTCTTGACGAGCAGCAGACATCTTCAGGGGAAGCATTCAAAGGGAGACACTGAGACCCTAGAGCGGTGGGGGCTGCAGCAGCCAGGGAACAGCACCCCACAGAGCCCCCAGGGCTGGCAGCTCTGGGCTGGTATGGGGAAAGTATCCTGTGAGTCAGCGCCTGTGACCCAGGGCTGGAGTTGGGGAAATGGTGAGTCAGCCGTGCTGTGGCTGGAGCAGAGGTTCTGGGAAGAGGCCTGTGGGAGCTGAGGCGGAATGGCGGCTGGAGCTGTGCTTCTGGAGGAGGCTGGAAGGGCCTGCAGGACAGGGAGGGGGTCAGGACAGCCTGGGGAGGGGCTGCAGATGGAGACAGGAGGCTGGGGCAGCCCTGTGGTAAGGGTTGGGTCAAGCCTGTTTGAGGAAAGGAAAGCCAAGGCCAAGAAAAGGGATGGATCTTGAGGAGCTAAGGTTAAGTGAAATCAATCAGACATCAAGGGTTAAATCGTGCATGCTTTGTCTTCTACAAGAAACCAAAAATATAAGTAACTTAAAGAGCCAAATAAGAGAGATGATAGGAAATGGGGGCTTTGTGGAGATAGGAATGAGATTCCAAGAAGGAGGGAGGTGAGAGGACAGAGAGGTGAAGCAGCTCTAAATGATGAAGTTTACACACACATCAAATGTGATGACTATGTATCACAAATGTGTATTCATAAAATTTAGTATCACTGGGGCCCTGTGGGTGATGTCCTCCCTCTGGGCTTTGGAGTCCCCATGCTGGGACACAAGCCCAGGTCAGGAGGCCAACCTGCTCTTGGTCCTGCAGGAGAACAGCACCTTCCGCAGCCTCCCATTCCTGGTTGCCATGCAGACAGCCAACATGGTCCAAGGTGAGCGTGGTAAGAGGTGAGGCTGGGCCTGTGGGGCCAGTGGCCACCCGCCATGCCACCCTGGGAAGGCTGTCCTCCTAGGTGGCTCCTAAGTCCCCTAAGCCCCTGTGCCTTGGGCAGATGTGAAAAAGGCAGTGGCCCAGCAGCCTGAAGGCTTGAAGACATTGGCCAGCAGCTTCCCAGGCTCCGAGGCAGCCTCCCACTGGAGCCAGGCACTGGAGGAGTTAGAAGAGCACAGCCGCCCTTACCTGCAGGACGTGCAGCGATACGAGACGTACAGGTGCCAGGAGGGGGCAGGGGGCTTCAGCGGGACGGAGCCTCCTGCTTTCGCTTCTCGCTAAGCCAAGACCCTTGGCTCCTCGGGCCTCTGCGTCCCACCTGTCTGTGTGCCCCGGGGCCTGAGGGAATTCAGGAAGAATCCCCAAGTCCCCTGCTCCAGCCCTGCCCTCCCACAGGTGGATCGTGGGCTGCGTGCTGTGCTCCACTGCCCTTCTCGTGGTGATCTGCAACCTGCTGGGCCTCTGCCTGGGCATCTTGGGGCTGTCGGCCAGGGAGGACCCCAGCCACTGGGATGCCAAAGGCGAGGCTGGAGCCCGCTTCCTCATGGTGTAAGAAGGGGCAGGGGAAGGGAAGGGTCCCTCTTGCTCCCAGGGACAATAACAGAGTCCTGGGAGATAGGAGGCCGACCTTCAGGTCCAGCCTCACTCCCACTCCTTGGGTGGTACTGGGCAAATCACTAACCCACCTGGCCGCAGTTTCCTCAGGTGTACAGAGGGGTTGGACTAGGGCAGGAGAGGCAAGTAGCTCTCCCCACCATACACACACCTGTGAAAACTGCAGTGCCCAGTGTGCACACTCACCCACTGAGCCCAACACAGCCTCAGAATCCTTTTTAATCCAGCTTCCAGGCAGCATCAACAGCACCAGGAGCCGGAATGCAAAGCTAGACTAGATGACCTCTAAGGCCAGGCCTGCCTCATATGGTTGTGAAGGTTGTTCATTACACGAGGGTCTCTTGCCAAAGGGTCAAGTAGGGGATAAAATGCACCCAGTAGCTCCACACTCTGATCCTCATAGCCTGGCACAGGGCTATGCCCATCTCACAGGGCAGCTGTACAAGTCTGTGGCACCCAGCCTAAAGGTCCTTGATGCTCAACCCTGTTGGGTGCTGCCCAACAGGGTCACACCTGGTTGTGTCCTTCCAAGTAACCTTTGGAAGGTCACTTCCATGGGCCCTAGGGCCAGCAGCAGGTAGTCCTGGCTCCAAATAAAACAGCTGTCCCTTCCTCTAGGCTACGGGGTAGGCTGTAGCAGAGGGTAAGTTTGGAGACAAGACGGGTCTTCTTCCTCCTGAGAGGCCCAGCCCTTTGTCCTCCTCCCAGAGGGCTCTGCCCTAAAACTCAGCCTCGGGGCTCTCAGAGCCAGCTCTGGGTGTGTGTGTGGGCAGAGCTCACTCCAGCACAGCCAGTCTCCCCTGCCTCACCCCATCTCTCCCCCCCAGGGGTGTGGGCTTCAGCTTCATCTTCGCTGCTCCCCTCATCCTGCTGGTGTTTGCCACCTTCCTGGTTGGCGGCAATGTGCAGACTCTGGTGTGCCGGAGCTGGGAAAGCGGGGAGCTCTATGAGGTGCGGTGCCCTCCAGGTGACCTGTCCCTGTGAGGTCCTATGGGGAGGGGCAGGGAGCTGTGGGCAGAGCAGAGGGTTGTGGGGGAGGGGAGGCAGAGGGGATAAGTGGGAGAGAGGGGCAAGAGCAAGACAGCCACCAGAGAGAAAAGCTGTGAGTGCTGGGTACTGCCCCGGCCTTGGCAGAAGCCCGAGTGGTCACCCCCGTAGCCCTCTAACCCTCTAACCCTGAGTCAGGGCCCAGGAGCCCTGGTGCCCCATGTAGGGGGTGAGCTATGATCCTGGAATTATTTCTTCCTGAGGTCAAGCTGACCACCTTCCTACGGTCACTTGGGAACTGTCCCCAAGAAGAGATAGGGCCCAGGCTGTTTGAAGTACAGGCTGGGTCTGATGCCAAGGAAGGAAGCAGGCCATGGGGAAGCTGGGGCAGTCTTGTCCCCACCCTGATTTGAAGCCCATGACCCTCTCTCCATCTCCAGTTTGCGGACACCCCTGGGAATCTGCAACCTTCCATGAACCTGTCCCGCCTTCTTGGCCTGAGGAAGAACGTCAGCCTCCTCCTGGCCTACCAGTGAGTGGGCAGCCTGAGCAGAGGTGGGGTGACCTGGAGGGATAGAAGTGGATGTCTCACTAGGGTGACATCACTCACCCTTGCCACCATGTTCCTCCCTCCTCTCCAGGCAGTGTAAGGAAGGGGCTGCACTCTGGAGGGTCCTACAGCTCAATGACTCCTACAACCTGGATAAGCACCTGGACATCAGTCAGGTAAGAGAACATTCTGGAAGCTGGGAGGCCCTTCCTGTACAGCTACATTCTCTGCTCTGGAAATGATGGAGATGCCTCAGGATAGAGCTCAGGGCTACAGCAGGTAGGTACAGGTGGTAAGGACCTGGAGGCCATGACCCTGTGCTCCAGGGACAGCCACACAGCTGAAATGCAAGGAGGGTGACAGCGAGTAAGTGGCTGAGGGTATGAGTCCTGCCTGAGGCCAGGCACTGACTGGCATGCTCCAACTGGGCCAGGCCAGACAGACACATGGTGGCACTCGCTGGGGCCCTCCCCATGCTCTCATGGCTAGGAAGTGGTGGTGGGATCCTACCCCCAGCCTGACAAGAACTCTCTGTGCCCACTAGGATTTGGGGTGTTCACTTGCAGGGCAGATTGGAGAATGGAATTTGGGCCTCAGTAGAGAGAGAAGATTATGGAACAAAGAAGGACTCCTTCATAGGAAGATGTGCTTCTGAAAGCCTACAGAGGCTGCCAAACATCTGCTCCTCTCTTCCCTCCACACCTCTGTGAGGTGGAAGCCATTTCCAGTCATATCCTAGGGAAATCCACACCCATCCGTACATCCCTCCTGCCACTCAGGAGCCACCACCTGCTTCGGCTCCATTCTAAGAAACCCTCCCAACTCCATGGGGCCGCCACCCCTTTTGCCCCAGGGGTAGCACAGCCAGACGCCCAGCCCCAACTCCACACCTTAAGCTGCACCAGGGACAGTTAACGCCTCACTCCCTGCTCCTCTAGCCTCCTTAGCCTGTCCAGAGGCCACTGGAGTAGGCAGTGTCCCGGTGCCACACTGGGCACAGCCTCATGGTTTGAAGGATGGCCAGGAAAGGCTGCGCAGGGTCCTGGGCAGAGCAGACTTCAGGCCCTATCACCTGAAAGTCATGGTTCTCAGGCAAAGGGGTCCTAGGAGGGGTCCAGCTCTCAGAGAAAACTGGCAGGTAAAATGCCAATGTCAGGTGGGCCAGGAGGTCCTCAGAGGCCATCTGGTGACTTTCCAAATGTCACATTAAGAACACCTATCCCCAAAGGAGAATAGCAAACTAAGTGCGCACCAGTCAAAAAGTGGGGTCCAGTAGGCAGCACCATCCCCTGCACGCACCGGCCACATCAGGCACTGAGGCCTGAAGTGCGACTTCAGCACTCTGCTTGTGATAGGCTGAGGGTTCCTCTCCCACCAGGGAAGGCAGCATGGCTGTGCATCCTCTGGCAACTGAATGCTCCTCTCCGGTCTTAGTTCCTCACCTGTAAAACACTGAGGCTGAATTTCATGACCCCTAAATCTCTTGCAGCAATGGTAGGAGAATGCCAGAGGTTTTCCCTGGAAATATGATTACATCTGTTCATTCACCCATTCATTCATTCATTCATTCATTCATTCATTCATTCATTCATTCAAGCATGCATGCATGCATCCAACCATCTATACACAAACTTGTACCATCAAAAGTGCCTCCTCTGAATGCTGAGGGTTGGGGCAGAACAGGCAGGCAAGTTTGCACAGACATGGTGCTGATGGTGATGAACAAGTGCACAAAGAAGTAAGCTGAGGTTGGAACAGAGGACTGCAGGGCCATCCTGTGACTATGGAGGCACTAGGACTGTCACACCAGGGTGTGATAAGGAGGAGCCAGGAGAGCTGCTTTATATCAGGTGGCCAGGGAGGAGCTGTGTGGCAGCCCAGTAGCCCTCTGGGTGCTGGAGGAAGACTGGGTCTTAGAGATGTGCTTCTAGGAGCAGAAGCCCGCTGGGAACCTCCCAGGGTATGGGGTGTCCAGAGAAGGGAGCCCTGAGGACCTCACTTAGGGCAGTGTCTGGGCTTTGGATCAGCAACTGGGCATGTCCTCCTCTGCCCCCTCCTCCCAGTATGCCAAGAAGCTGCAATGGGACCTGAAGAGCTTGAAAGTGGACATGAAGGACCTGGACCTGCTCAGCCCAGAGGCCTACCAGGACCTGGAGGCCCTGCTGGCAAGTGGAGTGGAGAGCGTCAGTTACCAAGACTTTCTCGTTCAGGTCAGCAGAGGAATGCTGGGTACCCTAGTAGGGTGGGGACAACACATAAGGGCCACAGAGGCCCTGGCATGGGCCTTGCCTTCTCCTAGCACTTGGCCCTCCCTGCTGAGACCGCTTCCTCTTGCAAGTGTGCCCAGACCACAACCTTGTTGACCTTTGTCCCCGACCCAACAGTCCACGTCGCTGTTCATGGTCCTGAACCCACTGCTGCCCAGAATGCGGGTGGGAAGCACCTCTTCCTCGCTTCACACCAGAGGGCACCTGTCTTTTGATTGTTCTTTTCCTGAAGATGTCTGAAACGTTTGGCAGCTCTAGGTCAAATCCACTGTGACTGATGCGGCACAGCAGACTTAGCTGGTGCAGGGCGCATATGGCAAGGGTAGGAATTCAGAGGCCATGGGGGCACAAGATCAACCCTGCTGGCCTTTCCATCCCCCCTCAGATCCAGAAGCCTGTGGTGAAGATTGACATGGAGCAGCTGGCCCAGGAGCTGGCAGGACTGGCCCAGGCTCAGGTGAGAAGGAGTGGGGACTCCAGGGCAGGCAGCAGTCAGGCCTGGGCATGGGGTGGGGAGGGCCTTGGGCTGGGAAGTGCCAGGGCAGAGGCAGGGACCAGAGCCTCCATCAGTGCTAACACTTCCAACACTCTGCTGTGCTTGAGGGTTTTGCCACATCAGTTCTGATTCAAGACCTAACATCAGTTGGCTGGGCAGCCTGGGGTGAGTCTCCGAGCATCTCTGGGCCTCTGCCTTGTTGTCTGTAAAGTAGGCTCTCCACCTCAGATCAGCTCAAGGGACTGGTTGGATGTCACGTGGAAGGGCAAGCAGTGCCATGTGCATACCAGGTGTGGAATCCGCATGTTGTGATGGATCAGCTATGACAGCTGTCCTGCAGGGGAAGAAACTGCATTTCACATTTACAGTTACCTAGTTTGGAACGTTCTCGCTAAGGCATCCCAGAGACCCTCCCACCAACCCTCCTCAGCTTCAGTGCCACTGTGGCTCCCTTTGGTGTCTGTGACTGACTGAGGGGCAGACCTAGAAACTGGGCTGGGGTTGAAGCTTCAGGAGGCTGAGACTTTCTGCCTCTGGGCCTGGCAGTTTCCTTCTGCTCCTCACTGTGTGCCACCCAGAGGCCGGGTCAAGGTTCCCCTAGAGAAGTCCAACCCCGCAGGGTGGGGCCATTCTAATCTCTCTTGGCCCTCAGGGCCATTCTGTGCTGGGGCAACAGCTACAAGAGGAGGCCAGAGGGCTCCAAAACCTCTCCCAGGAGCTGGTCATCCCCCAGCAGAACTTGGTGGTAAGTTTGGGTGCTCAGGGAGCCTGAGAATTGGGAGAGAGGGCAAAGAAGAAGGAAGATGCTCCATGTCCTCCCTCTCCACCCCTCCCTCTAACTAGCCTGAATCTTTCCTCATAGGTCAAGCTCAACCTCAGCGTCAGGGCCCTAGAGTCCTCTGCTCCAAAACTCCAGGTGACTGCTGAGTTGTGGACAGTGGGGTGGAATAGGTGGGCAGCAGAGGGAGAAAGGAAGTGGGAACCCAGCTATCTATGGACCTTGTAGGCTGTGTCTCGTCCCACTAGAGATTGAGGGTGGGGATGAGAAGGAGGTGGGGCTGGGTGGTCAGCCCCTTGAGGACCACAGATCTCTGGCTCTGAGTGTGTGTGATATGCTGTTTGCATGGATGGATCATTGGATGGATGAATGCATGCATGCGTGGATGCATGGGTGGGTAGATGGATGGATGGATGGATAGATGGATGGATGGATGGATGGATGGATGGATGATGGGTGATGGATGAAGGATGGATGGGTGATGATGGATGGATAGATGGATGGGTGTGTGAGTGGATAGATGATGGATGGATGGATAGATGGATGGAAGATAGATGGATGGATGGATGCATGCATGGATGGATGAAGGATGAATGATGAATGGATGGATAGATGATGAATGGATGGATGCATGCATGGATGGATGAAGGATGAATGATGGATGGATGATGGATGAAGGATGGATGGATGGATGATAGATGAAGGATGGATGACAGATGGATGCATGGTTGTATGGAGGATGAATGGGTAGAGGACGGGTGGATGGGTAGATAAATGAGTGGCTGCTTCCTGAGCAGGACACTGAGCTAGGACTCTGGCTTCCTGCAGCGGGAGACTTCAGTCATCCTAGGCAATGTCACCTCCCTAAAAACAGAACTGCCAGCACTGACCAACCATGTCATCCAGAATGTGAGTGGAGTGGGGGAGGTAGGGACTGTTATGGAACCAGAGGGACAGTGCCTCTGCCATGGGCTTCTCCATCCATTCCCTTACAGTGAGTCCCAAAAGCCAGCCTGGCCAATGACATCAGGCATGAGGGTATGGAGCGGGCTTCTGGGACCTCTGCCAGCTCCAGTTTCCCTCTCCTGCAGGCAAGCGAGTGTTTCCTGACCCGGGAAATGGGCTACTTCTCCCAGTATGTGGCGTGGGTGAAAGAGGAGGTGAGTTGGAGGCTCAGACCTTGCCTGGCCCACCCGTGGACCAGCTGGTCATGCTTTGCCCCATCATGTCCCCTGAGGCCCTTCGGGGGTACTCAGACCTACAGGATTGGACCCAAACTGCCATACCTGGCAACTGTGCTCCACTCCTGCCCAGACACTCCCTGAGGCCCACGTGTGAGCTGCCTCAGCTTGGATCATGCCATCCTTACCTTGTTCCCACCCTTTTCTGTGGTTCAACCCCTGCCTAGCTTGTGCTCTCCTGAGGACCCCAGTTGACCATACCTCTGCAAGCTGACTGGGCATCCCCTGGGCTCACAGAGAGTGTGGCTTAGCCCTCAGTAGCTTTGGGTGATGTGGGTGCAAAGTGCCTGAGGACATGTGCACACAGGCATGCTGCCTCAGTGGTGCGTGGCATACACAGTAGAGCCCTAATTCAGGTGGCAAATGGATGGGGCGCAGGAGTGGATCCCAGGTGTGTTCTCTCTCCCCATGTGTCTGTACCTGTGTGTCTATGTGCCTGTCCAAGTGTGCAGTGGACCCTAGCTGTGTCCCTGTCAACCTCTCCCTCTGACTCTGGGGTGTACAACTGTGGTTTGAGCATCCCCACATATACTTGTCCCCTGTTGGCACCGCAGGTGACTCAGCACATCGCCACCTGCCAGCCCTTCTCTGCAGCCCTGGACAATGGCCGTGTAATCCTGTGTGACATGGTAGCTGACCCCTGGGTGAGTGTTGTTGACTCTGATGACCGTTTCTCTGCCCCACAGCGATTCTGAGGTGGAGGCCGCAGGCACAGGGTGGGCTGGGAAGGGGGCTCTGTCTGGCCAGGTGTGCTGACCTTGGGCTCCTTCCAGAACGCCTTCTGGTTCTGCCTGGGCTGGTGTACCTTCTTCCTCATCCCCAGCATCATCTTTGCTGTCAAGACCTCCAAGTACTTCCGCCCTATCCGGAAACGCCTCAGGTGAGGGGCTGCTAGGACCAGGGGCACCCATCGGGAGCCCAGGAAGGAGTCTACCGTCACTAGGCCCAGGCCCCTCTATCTTGTCCTGAAACTTTCCTGGCAGAGAAGTCTCCTGTCTGAGCCTTAGAGATACACATTCTCTGGCCTGGAAATTGTCCCATATGTCTGCTCTGTCCCTTTGCTACAATACCTCTGCCTGGATACAGTTTGCTAGATTCTCTCCCGGCTTCATCCCTGGGGTGGGCAGAGGTCTGTGCTGGGGGCTCATCTCCATTCTGCGATGCTCCAGCTCCACCAGCTCAGAGGAGACTCAGCTCTTCCACATCCCCCGGGTCACATCCCTGAAGCTGTAGGACCCATGGGTGAGTCTGCCCCCTACCCACAATGACTCAGGGCCTGGGATGGAGGCTGTGGGGACAGAAAGACTGGGACAAGAAGAATCTGGGTGGGGCCCATCCAGCGTTGGGACTAGAGGTCAAGCCCTGCCCACCCCCCACCCCATTTGCTTTCTTCTTAATTCACAGCAAGGTGAGGTACTCCCTGGGGCTGCCTGTCCCCTCCACTTGACCTGGACCAGAGGACTCCTGAAGCCTTGTGGCAGAGCTGAAGTGGGGCTCCCTGCCCAGACCATTCCCCAGTCCATCTGTTGCCCTCACACCTGTCCCTTTTCTGTCCTTTCTGCTCATAACCCCCTTCATTCATTCTCACTTTTGCTGAGCCACAGGACAACAGTTTCTCTAGGTGTCCTGCCCCTGTCCTCCTTGCTGCCCTGTCCCAGCACCAAGAAGGGCCTGTCCTCTGCCTGCCGGGACCCCTTCTCCATCCCCGTGCCTGCCCCTTCCAGCCCTCTCCCCATCAGCACTCCCTCTTCTCCCCTCCAAGCTCTTTGCTCCTTGTTCCCATCCGGCCTTCCACCTGCCTCATCTTTCGTCCTAACCTCTCCTAGCCCCTTCCTTCCTCCTTCCAAGGAAGTTCTTCCCTGTCCTCTCTTTATCCCACCCCCAGCCCCACTACTGGTCCTCCAGGGACCCCTCCTCCTGCCCAGCCAGCTCATCAGATAAACCTGCCAAGCAGGTGTGATCCTGTACTGGGCTGGATGTGGTCTCCGCCTCATGGCCCCAAGCCCTCCACGGGCCCATCCTGGACTTCCTGGCCCCCAGAGGGAGGGAGATTGTTTGAGGGCTGAGCCACCTGTCTGCACCCCAGGTTATGAATAGCATTGTCCCCAGGCCCTCTCTGAGTACTGGTTCCCAAAGAGTGACTGGAACCTGGGCTACAATGGGGTCACAGCCTGTGTTCCCCCAGAAGGTAGCATGTCCTTGCTTTCCTAAGCTTTATTTTGGGGTCCTTGAAGCCAGCCCTCCCAGACTAGGACTCTGTACCTAGCTATTGTTGAGTTCACATCTTTGTTGGCATCCATGGATACCCTGAATACCTAAGGATAGGGCTCAGCGCCTGGATGGGAGGCTGCCGGTAGGAGTGGGCAGACCCGGGTTCACAGACTGCCTGTGATGCCGCTTGCTGGGTGCCTTGAACATGTTATCAAGGTTCCCTCAACTCAGCCTCTCCTTTTATAAGATAGAAGAATCAGAACCTCGATATCGAGCTGTGAAAACGAAATATAACAAGTGAAAGGTCCTGGGAACAAAGGCACAGCAAGGAAATGGGAGCTGCCGTGACTGCACTGCCCAAGGTGGAGCTAGGGTCTGCACAGGGACAAGGGAAAGGGGAGGGAGCCCCTGTCCCAAGGCCACAGCCCTTGGGGATGGTATGGTCTGCTGAGTGCTAGATGGGGTCTCATTGTATTTTATAAACCAGTGACACAGCTGCTGCTAGAAACTAGGGTGGTATGCGCAGAACGTGTGGTCACTTTGACCAGCGCATGCTCACCCAGGGACCCTTGACAGCCACACAGGGGCCTCCTTTTGGTTTTACCCAGAGGTTGGTGGGTCAGGGTGGTTTTGCTTGTTACTCGGCTGTCAGCTTGCACAGAGGCGGTAGCATGCTGAATACTAAAGCGCAACTGATGAGATCAAAACAAATGAAATAGACATAATTAAACAATGTGTTCAGCTCTCTCTGAATTGCCTGTCTTATTTTATATCTATTTGAGCATATTAAGCGTAGTATTTTATCATGCTTTACGATTTGATTGTGGTGTAGGGCACTGGAACCAGGCCTTTGCGCACGCTAGGCAAGCACTCTACCCGCAACCTGCACAGCCGGAAGTGCTCAGCCGTGCCCGTAGAGCCCCTGAGGCTCTACAGCTAGCAGGTGTTGCTCCCTTGGTTTTCGTGAGTTGTGTCTGTCTCTTCACATCCTTGGCAGTTTTGACTGCGTTGGGGAAGTCATGGCATCTGACAACTCATCAGAACAATCCGAGAAAAGGAATTGTCTTCCTCCACAGGGCATGGTTACTTCTCGCAGGTGGCTGGGGACCTAACAAAGGGGAATCAGTTTAACATACCACAGGGAGTGAGCTGGCACCAAAGGCTTTGCAGGCCAACGTACTTCTAGTCGTTCGCATGGCCCTGGGACCCAACCCAAAGCATGGCAGGTTTGCCTTCCTCTTGGCGGCCCTGGGGATCAGCCCCAGAGGTTCTTAAAAGCTTTGCTCAGCTTTGTTGCAGTATTTGGTAGGACCAGCAGAAGCCCCTAGGGAAGTCACCCCAGAGCCAGGCACATGCCCCACATCTCGGCCCTTGGGGTTTTTCTTGGTTTGTTTGCTCCATGATACCATATATATGTATATGTAATATGTATTATATGTATATATAACATGTGTATATGTGTATATATAATATCTATTCTGATTATTAACTTTGTTTACTCCTTGATACCATACATATACACATTTATATTTGTACATATATTTATAAGTATATATGTATTCTGATTGTTAATTTAAAAAGCTGCTCAAAACATGTTCTTGTGTGTACATGCATACACACACTCATTTTGAGTGGTTTTTACAGTTGTGTTGAGCTGGGAAGTTGATCCCAATTACCTAGTCCAGCATTAACAAAAGTAGCGCTCATCAAGAGTGACTTTACTTTCCCTCCCGTGAACTGGAATATTTAATATCCAGAATCCTGGGCCTGGCACACTGAACACTGGCTTCACCAAGGAGCATCACTGGGAGAGCGCTACTGCCAGTGCTGGTCATCCCGAGATGAGGCTGACACCTGGAAGTTGACAAAGGGACAGAAATCGCTGTAGAGAAAAGTAGATCGCCTGTTTGCTGGGATTTGGAATTCTGGGATCCTCCGATATTAACACTACTTCACATGAGAAACAGCCCCTCTGTGGTCACAGCCTTGTCTCACCCTGACAGCCTCCAAAGGAAGTGAGTTTTCATCTAGGGCGGAGCTGATAAAGCTACCTGAGGTTGCGGGGCAGGCTCAAGGTCACCTGAATGAGATTCAGGTCCCAGGTGCTGGCCCTGGAGGTTTCCTCTTGGATGAGCCACCAATCTCCATTCTCTGTGGGCATGCTAAGGGGGCCCTGTCTCCAGGGAGACTTGACCAGATGTCCTTGCTGTCCTTGTGGCAGGAGGGATGACAGATTGGAGGCCCTGGGAGTTCTGCCAGATGCTCCACTTGGCTACCCAGTGCAAGGCCCTGTGGCAGATTCTGCCCAAAAAAACACCACCCGGGCCAGTGCATCTGAGGTCCCAGGTGGGTGGGCAGGGTGGCTCTGACTGGCGCAGGTGTGCATGGGGAAGGCACATGGCAGAGCTAGGACAGCGTGACAGCTACAGTGCTGATATCATATTGAGCTATAGGCATAAGCCAGGAAGTGTGCTTTACATGAGTTTATAAAGAGCTAGGCATCACTGCCACCTGCCTGAGAAAACTCACATATGAATTCTGGAGTGGACTGAGTGGACAGGGCAGTACTGGCTGAAAGGGGTCCACTGCAGATAGTGACAGTCCATGCCACATCAATTCTCTGATGCAGCCTGACGCCCTGCTTGAGTGACTGTGGACAGTGTCCCTCTTTCTCACCCCCCAGAGCCTGAATGCCAGGCCCTCCCCAGAGGCTGGTCAGCCTCATAATGCAGGATCTGGGGACTCACGCAAGTAGAGGAGGGGATTCGGGCAGAGGAACTGGGCAGTGCCTCCCCCACTGCCAGCCAGAGGGAAGAGGGCTTTTCTGCGAGCTCCACTGAATCCTCTGTGGTCTGGGGAATCCTGTGGACAGATGCCTCGGCCCCTTCCTCCTGTAAAGGCTGGCTGGCTGCTTCGGTGGAAGAGCTAAGGGAGGGCTCAGCCCAGATGAGGCATCCTTTGGGAGTCAGCAGGGGCTCCCTTGGGCCCAGAGCCAGGAGGTCACTCTGAAGGAACAGACCTCAGCGAAGAGACCTGGACCAGTTACTGGATGTTGGGAGTCCTTGGTTCCCTAGAGAAATTCCCCAGCCAGGGGCACGGGACAGGGGGTGGCTCCTGGCAATGGCCAGACTCAGAGGCCCTGGGAGGTGCCCACAGGAGAAGGAGGCCTCAGCCCTACCATGCCAGCGAGCAGCTCAGCTGGAGGCTGACCCCGCAGCCTGCCCAGCAGCCGGCTCCCACTCGCCAGGCTCACAGACACCATGGGAGGGGTGACGGTGGGTGGCCTGGTGTTGAGCTGACCGCTGTGTGACACTGGTAGAGAAGGGTCCTAAGCTGAAAGGGTCCTCTGAGGCTGGTGAGCAGCAGTGCAGGGAGCTGGAGGCTGGTAAAAGGTGCCATGAAAGCTGCCCCAGGTGGCTTCAGCGTCATTGCTATCCCAGCTCCGCCTCCCTGGCCCTTGGGAGTTTTGTGACACCCAGACCAAGGTTTTGGTGGGCAACAGACATTTTTGGAGTGCCTGTGAGGAAGGGGCTCCACGTGTGTGAGGACCCACCTCTACTTGAGGGGGCTTCTCACAGGTAGGGGCCTATGGGGGACGGGGTCTCTCTCTCTCTCTCTCTCTCTCTCTCTCTCTCTCTCTCTCTCTCCTCCATCTCTTCCTCTGTGTCTGTCTCTCCAAGTCTCTGCCTCTTAACAACAACAAAAAAAAGGCCCCAAGGAAAAGACACAGGTCTTGGGGCACAGAGCTGGGTCTGGGGCCTGGGGAGAAGGGATTTGAACTTGGGCCTAGAGTTGAGGCCAGGAGCAGGAATGGAAGAAGATCTCAAAGACCCCAAGACTCACAGGTGGGGGTGGCAGAGCCCGGCTTGAAGCCACGCCTCCGCTTTCCACTCCAGACTCCCCACCACCCCTCAGCTTTGGCCTTGTGAGGAAGACAGCTGAGACCCATCCAGCTGAAGCAGTCGGCTTCAGCACGCAGGCCTCTTGCAGCCTGCCTGCATTGACCTTTTTTGGCTCCAGTACGCCTCCAAAGACTCTTCTGAAATGCCAAGGCCCTCTTGGGGAAGGTTGGCTGATGCCCAGGTGCCCATGGCACAGCCTCCGGAAGCCCACAGGAGAGCCCTGCTTGGTGTGGTGCAGGGGACCTGGAAGTGCCTGGGGCCCTGGAGAGGCTCCTGAGAGGGAAGCCAGGGAGGAAGCAGCACGCGGCACAAGGACCCCGGCAGGGCACCACCTGTGTTTCTTCCGGGCACCCACCTGGGTGCAGAGGGCACTTCCAAGGCCTGATGACCCAGCAGGGTGAGCAGTCCTCATAGGCCTGTTCTTTGATCTTGTTAATTCCAAAGAAAGCTCCTCAGAGGAACGGCATTTCAGCCAGTGTGCCAAGCGGGGGCACCGTGACTGTCCAAAGGGCAGCTGGCCTGTGCTAGGTGGCTCTGGTCCTGCCTCCCTGGGCTGTGCCCCGAGTTGTGCCCAGCCTGCCCTGTGCCATGGAATAAGCAGGCATCACAGCTGGTGTGCAAGGCCTGGGCACACAGGTGTGTCTCACCCACCGTGACTCTTGTTCTTAGGGACCGGGCAGGGGCTTTAACTTTCTGGGTCTCCTCATCACTGAGTGGAATAGTGGTGCTTTTCTCCTGAAGCCACCTAAGAACTCAGAATGCTCAGGAACCTTGCTTGGAGCCCAGGGAGGCAAGCTGCCCCACCTCCACCCTCCCGCTCCCCACGGAAGGTCAGTGGGCTTCCAGGAACCACGACTCTGGGCTGGGGGCTATGAGGGAGGGGCTGCTCTCCCTTCTCCTGGGCACAGCTGCAGACAGGGCATCAGGGTCTGCTGAGCCGCTCACACCCACACCGTGAAAGGCCCCTGGTATCCTGAAGTCCTGTCCGCCGGACGGACGCTGGGGCTGATCCCTTGCCTCGGTGGGTCCACAGCTCCCACAGCTTCCTTCTCCCAGAATCTGAAAGCTGGGGGGTGGGGAGGCCATTCAAGGGCCTTTGTGCACACTGCAAAGGAGGGGGGCATCGCAGACTCTGTTTCCATGGGAACCGCTGGCACAGGCTGGCTCCTCAGGGCACCGAAAAGGGAAACTTGGCAGAGGTGTCAAGCATTTGGCTTCTAGGTGGCTTCCTTAAGGTCCATAAAGATGTTCTCAAGAGGCAAGGAGCACCCCCTTTTGCAGGGGTGCCAGGGCCTGCCCAGAAGTTGGGGGGTCCCTCAGCTGCCTTGAATGTGGTTCCAACCCCAGAGTCAGGCAGGTGCAATGGCACCCAGAAAGTATAATGGGCTTACCCCTTGGGGGAGAGTCCCCTACAGTGATGGGGAGGTCATTAAGCGGGGGACACTGAGGCAGGAGGCTTGCAAGTTTAAGCCCAGCTTGGACAATTTAGTGACTTGGTGACACAGTGTCTCAAAATAAAAATTTAATAAAAGAGCTCAGGATGTAGCTGAGCTTGGAGGCTCCCGGTTCAGTCCCCAGTGTGGGGAGAGATGGTGAGGAAGGGCAGATAAAAGAAGAGCGGTGGGAGCCCTGACTATCAGGCAGATGGTGTGGGTTCTTTGGTGGTCACTCTTTCCTCCTCTACAAAGCCATCTGGCACCAGTGCCTGGAGTTCTAATTCCTGACAGAAAATACTGGAGACGCCACCTACCGTCTCACCCTCACTGGCTCAGCATTGCCCTGGGACTCTCAGGCACCTGAGGCCACACATCTGGAGTCCAGAGGAGGGCTCCCTTCAGCAGGTGGTAACTCCAGTCAGGTGTCCCCGCTCCTAGCCCCGCCCCCACCCACCAAGGCTTGGGGAGCCCAGCCCACGTGTTAGAGAGGAGGGGACAACAGGGGTGCAGGGAAGCAAGGGCACGGGAGCCCCAGAGAGTGGGGCGGGACAGGGTGACTGCAGAGCAGGACTGGGAAGCAGAGACAGCGGGGGACTGGGGCTGCAAAGGCGTGAGACAGCCAAGAGCACGTGTGTGCGTGCGTGCGTGCTTTTGTGTGTGTGTGTGTGTGTGTGTGTGTGTGTGTGTGTGAGAGAGAGAGAGAGAGAGAGAGAGAGAGAGAGAGAGAGA